GTATTACTTTGAAAGGGGAGATTGTAGTAAGCTTTATGACCTTTGTGAAAAGGCCATTGAAGTGACACAGAAAACCAAGAGGACCATTGAAAAACTGTAAAATCTTACACCCTATTTGGCAACTCTTACCTCAATGAAAAGAAATATGACAATGCTATCACTTCTACAATTAATATTTTGGCAGAACACCAAATTCTCAATATGCCAAAAACATTGTCAGCAGAAAGAAAATATCCTGAGGAACAAGAATGATTGGTGTATGTCAATCCTGACTTGGGTTTGGAAGAAAAGAAGAAATACAATTTATTGGAAAGGGGGCTTTCCCAAGTCCATAAACATGAAATATTAAACAATAAGGTGCACAAGATGTCACACTGTGCAAGAATCAGGCAGCTGGCACTGAAGGGCTAGGAAGTATGTATGCACCTAGAGCCCACACATTCTCAAGGGCTGTACATAGAAGGCATAGTAGACATGCTATGGATATGAATGTATATTAGAAGACTCTAGACTTGGACTCTAGCTGTAAGGAAGCAACAGATGACTATCAGTAATGATTGAAGTGAAAGTCAATAAGAACATGACAACCTTGAGGATGGGAAACAGTGAGTCATGGATGACCCTGAAGTCCAGACAACAATGATTTTCCTAACCAAGGGGATGCTCCTGACACAAATGTGAAACCACCCCCAGGCACTCAGGGAACACATAGAATATTCAGAAGGTGATAGATGTAGGTCTGATCACAATGTGGGAATGCTGTGTTCAACCTTCTCCTCTTCCCCCTCATGTGGAACATGGCAGGCATAGCTGGGCTGCAGCAAACAGCAAGGAGTAGAAAAGAGAGAAGGGGGAAAAGGGAGAACAATTTTAATCCACATGATCATAAACATCAATGTGCGCGATGTATTCTTTATATAGCTGCTGTCTGAGGCCACTCTCAACATTCTCAAACTGCTGTCACTTGAGCTCTGTATCTCCTCTGCACCCTTCAAAGCTATCATGGATACCATTTCTCACAGTTATTGAAGGGGAAGGGTCTTGTACTGTAGGCTATATATGAAGATAGAAGGTTGTTTTTCCTGACCTCAGGTCTCAACCATCCTTCTCACATTCCTAACTTCCTGGTCTCTTTTCTCTAAGAAAACAGGCCATTTTGGCAATGCTATGAAAGAGAAAGAGAGATAGAGACAGAGAGAAAAAAATGAATCTATACTACCTGCAAGAAACGGGACCAGCAGGAAATACCCAGGTGGAAGAACAGGCCTTAAGTGAAACTTGCTGGAAGGGCAGTGGTGTGAGAAACATAAAGTAAAACATATTCATGATTTATTCTATAGAACCCAACTGTAAAAATAAGCTAAGGGTCCAGTTGATTATTACAATTAAGAGGAAGAGAGGTCACTATGATGAAGAGGACATTTATTTGGTGCAATTAAAAAGATATTCTCATTAATGTCCTCTTAATAGTCAGATTACAAT